TTGCGAATGTTATTTTCTTCCGTTCGCATCAGCAGGTGCATCACACACCTGCTCCTTATCCCTTTTTCTTACCGCGTCACACCACGCCATTTCAAAGAGCATCAACACAGCAAAGAGTCACCATCACCCCCAGCAACCCTTTCAGTCCCTCGTCAGTGCTGCTTGCATCACGTCAGTGGTGCACCATCAGCCAATGATGCCCAAAAATCGCCATGTCGCATCCGTAGCTAGCAATGCGCATCCAGTGTTTTTTTTTNACACCAGGAGAACACAGAGGAACGTTCACAACAAAGCATTGCCCCTTCCAGTCAAGTGCTTCACACACCTGCTCATAATCTCTTTTTATTGTGTCATTTCACACAAACTCAAGGAGCATCGGCACAAGAAAGAGAGACCTACCATCCTCAGCAACCCTTTTCCCTCCCTTGTCGGTACTGCTCGCCTCCCATGAGTGGTGCACCATCAGCCAATGATGCCCAAAAGTCGTCATATCGCATCCGCAGATAGCAATGCGCATCCAGTGTGTTTTTAAGGTTGGCACCCACCCACCTCTTAAGCCCACAAATTACTTCTGCAGTAGTAGCAGCCCAAATACGGAAGCCAAACAAATACAGGTTGTGTGCCACACCCACAGTCATCTCCAGCACCGCTGTCAGTTCAGCTTCATTCTGCACGTTGTAGAGTAGGCAGCACAGCAGGAAGAGTATCCTGATGTGCAGTCCGCAGATGCAACTTGGTCCATGTTTCTCACCCCCAAATACATCTTTCCGGCAGTGCCTACACCGTGAGATTGCTGTCACACATCTTCTCAGCTCACGGAAGAGTCCTTCAGAAGGGAGCAGAGCAGTTACCCTAACCCTGGCCTTCCACCATCATCATTATGCTGCAAACATCTCGCGTTGCATATCATCTCGTACAGTGCTCGTTTCCCCCCTAAAACACATCGAAATGAACAATCACTTTGGTTGGCATCGACTCAGTGTAAGATCCATCTTCATATATGTCAGAGAATGCCAATTTTAGCCATCACTTTCTCTTTCCTCTCTCTCTTTCTCTCGCGTGTTGTGTTCTCTATTTCGGCGCATGAAGAAAGCAGAGACACACGATACATGTGCAGAGAGGCGCGTTGGTTTCCCAAGGAGCTGTTTGTGCGGGAGCCCCACAGTGTCATTTCGGAGAGCACCAGAGTGGAAAATCATGCGCACACCACTCCCATCAC